TCTTGGCACAACTCTACACTGAGCATCCGAACCCTGTCCAGCTGTTAGTACTGCAATTCACCGCGAGGAGATACCAACATTTAAACATGATTTTGCTTTTCCTGGACTTCATTCCCACTCCATACATGTGAAACCTCCTTGTCCACAACAAATACCCTTTCAAGCCTCACAGGTTGGCAACATGATTTGCATCCCGCTGGATGTATGACAGCATCGGTGCCATACAAATCAGGCCCACCTTCTCTTCTTCTACAAACACCCACAGTAGCACCTCAGACAGAATAAGAGAAGCATAGACTTGTGAGCCTTTCCTCGGGAAACCATCTCTGCTTCCTGGGATGAGTAGAGACCTTCCTTGTTAAGAATTGTATCTACATAATGTTAGTATTGTTAAATGCTAACAATCTTGATTTCTGAGAATTTGTGGAGTCCTACCTTTGAATTTTTCTTCTCTACGGTACCCTGTACTTCATCATTTAAATGCATGCTCTCTACAAAAAGTATTTTAAGAAAAACCCAACACCCCTTGCCTAACACTGTCTAATCAGAACTGCTCTATCTTCTGTTGCAAGAAACAGAGATCAGACTTCCTGAAGTTACCTTTTGTGTACTACTCCAGTTATTATCTTGTGGCGTCTCACCCCCATGCTTGGGGATTTTAGATGTCTTCCCCTATGGAAACAACCTCATATCCTTCATGATCTTATCATCTTTCTCTACACAGTGATTCAGATATAAGTTTATCTTACTTGAAGACACGGAGAACCCGAACTGAACGCACTGCTTCAGATGTGGGTTCATCACAGATTTTATTCAGTGGTTTATCATGCCATTCCACCATGATGTTTGACTGTTTCCCTCCTAATAATTTCTGGTGCTTGTCATTGAAGAGCTTCCCATTGTGCCTCCAAAATGTTTTTTTCCATTTGATTATAGCCAATTTAGAGCATATCCTTGGGTTCATAGCTACGGATGTGCCATCTGCAGTACTTTGTAGTTATTCAAACCAAATCCAACCTTCATTTTATCATCACCTGCCAACACAGAAATGTGAGAACCTTCTGTATTTCTTCACAGTTAACTGTATGTTGGACTGCCCTCCATAACTGTTTATAATTCACAAATGTTATCAGCTCCTTTTTCCACACCACCCAGAAGTACACTGTACAGCACTGGTCCTATTATGAGACCTTTGAGGCACCTTCTCAGGAATTTCAGGAACCATTCTCCTTCAAGAAAATGGACAATTTCTTACTAACTCATAGGATGACTTTTTCCCCTTCTCACATGCTAGCCTAGTTTCTTTCAGAACGTTTGTCCTGTATATCCACAGTGCTCCTTAATACCCAATTAACTCTTGGCCCTTGCTTAAGTGGGACTCCTGTTTCTGATTTGCTTAGAAAAAAAACAATGTTCCCATTTGTTTCGGCCATACTATGGCTTTACATCCAACCTTACCAGAATTCATATCCTGTTTGCCTTCTCTGGATTTCCCTCTTACAATTTAAAGACTATGTTTTTAACTCATGAAAATCTCATTTACTCTTGTTTAGTTTAGCTCTTTTTCCAGGTGTGGAAGTCAAGGAACACCCTTTTTAAAATTCTGAGACTCCACTGCACATCTAAACATGCTGCAAGACTCCATGACACCTTCAAGCATTTAAGTCTCCAGTTGTTCCTTTTACTTTCTTGTTTTGCTTCTTAATACTTACAATTTTACAAGCTGAAAAACAATGTGGTAGATTTTCTGCATGGCATCTCTTTAGTAAACTAGGGTTCTATTCTCTTCTTTTGTCCCTGGGAAGATGAGAACCTGGATCACCACACTTTCTGTCCATACTCAGCCTCTGAAATTTATGGCAATTGTAGTGCAAAATCTTACTATTATGAAGACTTGAAAACACAATGTCTGTTAACAATGAAGATATCTGTATCTAATTCTATACCAAGCTAAGAGCAAAATAAAAACATGAAGTCTGAGCCTAAATACACACAGACCAAATGCACTATCACAGATCTTACAGATCATAATAACACTAGAAAATTAACAGAGAAAAATCACCATTAGTTTTAAGAAAAAATTCAAGCCTGAGAGAGTTATCATTAACCATTTTTAAACAAAAACTAGAGAAGTTTTTTTTAAGAAAATCAGGGTAGAGAAATTAATGACATATAAGTTATTAAGTCCCAGCTCTACATTTCCTGAATTATCTTAATTGAAAACAAAAATAAAAAATCAGTGTTATGTATGTCCTTCATTTTCTGTCACATGCTATCTCCTGTGAATAAGGAAACATCAATTTCCTCTCATCTGTATTTACATGTTAAGGTATCATAGCAAAAAATACAGCAATTTACTCATTTGTGAGCAAAACTGTTTTTGTAAATAACTCCTTGAAGTGTTAAACTTTATCAAACTTTAAAAATTTGTGCCATTGACTTCAAAGGGCAGAGTGTAGGCTTTTCTCCGGGGTAGTTTTGGACAAAAAGGTGTGTAGTAAATGTGAAAAAAACATGCATCTTTTCATGCTAAAAGTTTTTATCTTTCTATTCTGTTTCTTTTCAATGAAATAAAGAGATATAGCCCAAATATTTGAGCTGACAGGAAAACTTGCATTGACAGGTCCATATAGCCGAGGAACAGTGATTTAACTAATTTTCCTCATCAGCTAAATTCAGCTTGATGAGTTTGCATCTATTGGTTGTCCGAGTATTGCCTTGATTCTCACACTTTAAAAAAGAGATTTCAGTACAGCCTTCAAAGGAAAACTTTTGTGAGGAGAGATGTTTGATAGAGATCAATTAAAGAAAATCAATAGACCTGGAGAACTGACTGGAAACCATCCTTCCAAAACATTTCTACAGAGTAATGCTTAACTTGGTTTAAATGAATTTTGGTCTGGATTTAAAGATGTAGAGTCAGAAATTCAGCTTGGCTAAATCTATACCAGCTCCAGATGCTGTCTTGCAGATCAAGTAATAAAGTGGAAAACCAGAAAAACTAAAGATACATTCTTTACATTTTTGTCAGTCAGGTTTGGGAAGAGGGGTTCTTTTTTAAAATGTTGCTTGAAATATAATTTTTAAAACCTGCAAGTGTTTTTAAAGTGTTTTAGGACCATCCAGAATTTTGTAGATGTTGCTGTTTAAATAATTTTGTCCAAATTTTGTGTAGAAATTTCTGCATTCAGCTGTGAATAAACACTGAATTCTTGATTATATTAGTACCTCCAGCTCAGTTCCTTCTTTTAGCTAGTCCCCCCTGCTTTTTCCAAAAGAAGCATACTAGCTGGATCCTAAATATCACTTGGGGAACACAGTGATAGAAACAAAACCAATTTTATTCTGAAGGAAATTTTAGAAAAATTAGAAGAATTACATCAGGAACAAATTTGGCTCAGCCTATACAGAGGCACACACATCCCATTCAGTAGGGTTTGTTATATTGCCAGTACAGTATAATATTTTATATGCTCTCTTCAGAATCACATGTGTATTTAACCCTACTGCTTTTGGCTCCTGAAGGAGTCTATGTAGAGCTTGGGGGACTGGGGTATATAGCCAGATAGAGCTTGGAAAAAGGAAAGTATAAAATGCTAACTAAGGAGGATGTGTAATCAACAGTCTCCTCAGCTTAGAAAATAAAATTTTTACTTAAGGGAGGTAGTTTCAGGAACAGAAATATCAGACAGCAGATATTTCCCAGACAGACTGTGCCCTTAACAAACATTAACACTCTCTTGATTTGCCAAAAACTGTTCATGGAGATAAAGCAATGCAAACAGCTAAGCTGGTCACAAGAACTCAGGTAGGACTTAGCCTACAAAGATTACATAAAAGGTTGACTCTATGCATATTGAAAAAAAAATCATCTTCTTTTTCCTGCTCTCTGACTTTGAAATAGATTTTAGTTATTCTTTTAACAATGTTCTGAAAGAAATAAGGTAAACAAGCTTGTGCCCTCTAAAATATAAAAGAGTATAACTGTAACAGAAATAACAGATAATCTAATTGGAGAAATGATTCCAGAGTTTTTTCTTAATTTTTAAGGCTGTCTTTTAATACTTGTTCTAGCAAAGCAGCATTTTATATATTTTTTTATCCACCCTTCCGTAATACACATTCCAATGTCAGTTAGACGGGACCTACAGGGACCCACAGACAAGCATCATTTTATTATGGTAATAAAGAACAAGACAAATACATTCTTGAGAATTTGTTCCCTTTGAAAACTTTATCTATGAAAAAAAAAATCATATTTTTAAAGACAGCAGAGATTTAAAATATCCATTTCATATGCAACACTGAGTTTAACTGCATGTGGGCTTTATATCTTCCCAAATGTTTAGTCATGAAATCATACAAAAACATGTATTTCCTATCACACAACAGAATATGCCTAGCCTATATATTAATTTATTTCCTTCATTTTTTAAAAAAGGCTATACCCTAAAAAATAAAGTCACTTTTAGTTATGAACAGATTATATACAGATTAAAAAAACCCAGGTTTATTAGGTTTTATTTTAATCATCACTAGTGGTACTCCAGTTTGAACAGTATACTAAGTTTGCTCTTGTCTTCTTGCTGTGCTCCCCAGCGCTGAGGACAGTTGCACGAAGCTCACACAAGGCAGTAAGTAGGTGTAAGATGAAAATCCACCACATTCCCCCAACTTACCTCTCTTTGACATCCTGAAATGCAGCTTCTTTATGTTTTCTCCTCCCCAGCACTGCCTAAATGCCCTCTGAGGTCTTAACCAAGCATCAGTCCCTTACACTCAGAGTCAGAGCATTCTGCTCTCCTCACACTGCACCCCTCTCCCATCTTGGTGGTCAGACCCCCAGACAAGCTACCATTCACCAGCTTTTCACTTTGCACCCATGAGTGAGAAGTGCCCTTCAGGGACCCTCCACTCCTGGACCTCTTCATCATCATTCCTCTGAAGAAACCAAGTGTGCTCTGGCACTGCACAGGTTTCTGATCAATAAATTACTGTGCTTTACATGGTTCAAATTTAAGCTTTTATTTAGTTTTTAAATTAAAAAAATAAATTTAGTTATTAAATAGTGGAATGGGTCTAAACTAATGTTTACATATTAATTCACTTGTTTTAGGATACCACCAGAGAAATAATTGAAGTATACCACCCAGACAAAACTTTCTGTTAGAAAGCTCAACAGGGGCGTAATTCAGTTAAACAGGAAAAAAAAACAACCCCAAAAGTCTTAATGTTTACAATGAACATTAGTAGTAAACCTCTGGTTTTAGCGTCATCCAATTCTAGTTCTCATCACAAAGGCAGTCATTGTATTCAGGATACTATACCACAGTGCTAATGTCATCAGCTTCATCTGGTTTCTTTTGCCTGCTTGGCAGGGATTTCAAGTACTCAAGGTGCCTCCTTGCATCCTCCTGGTTCTGTCGGACGTAATAAACTACATAGGAGATCACCATGGTGAACCAGCCAAACATGGTGACCAGCATGGCGTAATCAGTAGTCTTTTTAGGAAGGTTGCAGAGGTCAGCATCATTGGCAGCGTTGAGGAATGGTCTCCCTGCGTGTTCATCCAGCACAGAAGTCTTGCAGATGACGTTGTTGGCTGTCTCGTGGTTGGAGGCCATGCTCCGCAATACCTGCTGCAGTGTGCAGTCACAGTGCCAGGGATTGTTTGCAATCCTGGCTCTGGCCTTTAAGTTGTTGAAAGCGTTTTTGTGCACGCTTTTAATCCGGTTGTCAGACAAATCCAGAGTCTGCAAGGTTTCTGCCACCCCCTTAAAGGCATGTTCATCTATAAACTCAATCCCATTTTTTGATAAATTGAGGACTCTCAGTTGGTTCAAGTCCTTAAAAATTTCATTGGGGATAGATGTTATCTGATTGGAGTCCAAATAAAGTAAGACTGTTTCTGGAGGAAGATCTCTGGGTATTTCCTTGAGGTTTGCATTGCTGCAGCTGACATTCAGACCTCCAGAGTGGGAACAGAGGCAGCCTTTTGGGCACATACTGGCAGAATGAAAGCACAGTATCATGAGGACAAAGCTTTGTAAGAGCAGACACATGGAGAGGGAACGAGTTAACCACAGGTCTACCAAATGCATGCTGGGGTGTCAGCATAATCACATGACCATTTCTCATTCAGCCAACTGTGGTGGAAAAAGGTTCGGCAAAGCTGAAACGTGGCTCCATTTTCTTCCGTGGGTTTAGTAAAAAACAACTAACACATGGGCTTCCTCATGGTCAGTGCTCTTCTTAGAAGCATGCCTACAGAGAGGAAGGAAAAAAAGTTCTTTATACCATAAACTCCAACCCTAACTTTGTTTTCATAAAAAGAAAACAGAAATTAAAGTGAAATGCAACACTAAATAAATGAGCTATTATCTTAGGTAACTCCTATTAGCATTAATCTGAGTTTAGTGCATATATCCCCTGGACATTTTTAAGAGGATAGACTGCACTTACTACAAATTGCACAGGTTTGGTCTTTAATACTTATTAGAGAAGGCACTGGTTCATTTTTATCATAGATTTTTCTAAAACAGGTATAAAACTAAATTGCATTTTCCCTTGCTGAAGTAGAAGATGCATTAATAGGAGCCAGAAGTTGTATCCCCAGCAACAGTGACAGGTAAGTGAGGAATTTGTGGTGGTTAATGTGAACTTATCTCAAAATAATTTATGCTATTGTAAATCCAAATCAAAATACTTTAGCAACAAAATATTTTTACTATATCAAGGAACAAAAATTAGGCAAACCAAATGCTGCTGCAAGACACCACAAACATCCACCATCTCCTTGTTTCTCTCCCCCCTCCTTTGCTTCTGCTTTCGAATGCTGGACTTCCTGTACTTTCCAGCATTTTGTGAGACCCACAGACATAATTTCTACTTCCAGTTATCTTGAAAAATTTATTTGCATTTAACATAGAGAAAAAGAAATGGAACAACTGCCAAAAATTCACATACCCCACTTCCAAACCAAATAAAACTCACACAAATCTATGTACGAGCCAAACACAAAAATATCTTATTTGTGGCATATATTTTGCTAATGGAACATATGAAAAATAGTATTTCTGTTCCTCTCCTCTCAAGTTAGCCTAAAAATAGTAAACATCCAGAAGCTTTTCCATTTTCTCCTTTAATTGGAACACAAACACAGAAGTCTGAAATGCTGACCTATATGGTTTCAAACACAACCTTTTCCCCCACCCCTATTATGGTAAACTATGAATTTCTAACGACAACAGGTCCATTTGTTTTCATGTACATGCCCTCTGTCTTTGTAGAAGCTCAGATATTTGCAGCCTTCAGGTTGTATTTACATACAAATGAATTATGTTTTTTTTCCAAATCCACATTGTAGTCCACTAAACAAGAAAATCCCTGCAGGGAGGATATGTATGATTTTACACAAAAAAGAAGAAATTGCATTGCAATCATTTTTTGCTTGCAGAATTGACATACCAACTGCAGTTTCTGGCACATTGCAGTAATAGCAATGAGAAGTTGTGAAGTTAACCCTGGAAATGTGAAACCATTAAGAAGGGAAGTATGCAGAGTATGAAAAGTTCCTTTTGAGGAGAGAGACGTGAGGTAGCACCTCCCCAGTCGATGGAGTCCTTCATGACCTCTGTGGAAGAAAAGGGGTTAATGTGAAAGAACCCCACTGCAGTGGGTTCATCCTTTCCATTTCTCCCTTTGGCTCTTTGGTCACTGCAGTGCCTGGTCTTCAGACCAGACAGAAATCTGCTATAGGAGGAGACAAGTTCCAGAAGTTGTTTTTTCCCAGCCTGCCCAAAAGTGCTAAGTACTGCTAAAATGTGAAGCCCATTTGGAGGCCAAGCTGGAGCTGGCAGCTGCTTCCCCTGGCATTCCGAGCTGGCGTTCTGCTTCTCCCTCCAGCAGCCCTGGGTGTTGCAGCAAAATGGCCCATCCCCTGGAGATACAGACACCTATTGTCTTCTCCCTTCATGTTTACATGTCTCGCTACTGGGCTGCACCAAAAGAGTACATAAGTGGTCCAGCTCTTTGCCACAGAACGAGCATCATCTCATCACCCACTACTCGTACACAGTGGCTTCCCACTACCAACACCGGAGTCCTACTGCTGGAATAGACGGGGGTGAAAGAGACAAGACCTGAAGTAGTCTCAGATGCTTAATTTTGTGGAAGCATAATCATACTGTTGTCACCAGAGTGTGACAACTGAATAACATATTTGCTCCATTACAGGCTAAAAAATCCTGCCAACCTGGAATTAGGGCATAGACCCTGCTGAGTCTTCCACAGTGCAGTTACACCACCGAAGATCATGTATCAAAGAGGCCCCAAGAACCAAAGACAATGTGGAACATCTTCATCCCACTGAAGACAAATGAAACTATTTAATGTAATAATGGGTTTAGAGTGGGAGTAGTAGGATCATTACAGACTAAGCAGGAAAATGTTTAATGAAGCAATGCCTCTTCAAAAGACATAACCAAGTAAATGGATACAGAGAGGGGAAAAGCTCCCAATGTTTTAGGTTGTTAGAAAGAGAAAACACAAATTTAAACCCATAATGAACAACCCAGTCAACAAAACTTAGTTGAACAAGAACAAAGATCAGCAAATTCTCAGTAAATTAACTGGAAGAAATGCAATAGGACTGAGCATCAGTGAGGGTAAACAGAGCTTTGTTTGCTTCCATAATCAGAATATCTGATCAAAGGGATATCTGAGGTCTGGGTTTCAACAATAAACTTACTGCAAGAACTTTCTTTACTCCTTATCATTGCAAGAAGAGAAAAGAAAACTAGGATCTACACATTTCTAATGCCAATAGGAATATTTATGGGTTCTTGAACATCCATCTAATTTCATCTGCTTGGAATACAAAAAAATAAAGAAGGTAGCAAAGTCGGAACTAACACAAGAGACAGAAACACTAAGGACTACAGAGAAAGGGATGAAAGACACAGAATTAAAATAAATACATGAATTAATTATAAATCTGCAAATAAAGAACAAAATTAAAACTAAATTAAAAAGTAAACAAAGGCACAGGGAAGTGACAGCAATCCAATGAGCAATGGTAGCAGCATGTTATAAAAAGGGTTTTTTGTGTACATTTCTAAAATACAAATACAAACATAGAAAACCTAACATACAAGTCAAATATTGCAGGGCAATAAAACTGGAGACAGACGATTGCACAAAAGAGTTCTTTGCAGTCTTGCAATTTAAGTGGGTTTTCAAGCTTTATCTTCTCATGCTCCCCCAAGACCATTCACTCAATACAAACATCCAAAAGCGTAGAATGTACAAATCCTGAAATCCTCAGGGAAAGAACATTGCTTTTAATACATAGTGAGATTTCTACTGAGCTTCAGGTGTCAGGCACTTTACGGCAAAAAAGGTGCAGAGACTGTATCTTAGCACCCGAATGCAATATTGCTAAATTATCTGTTTGATTTATAACTTCTCCCCACAAGAAACTAATGATGTAAAGAATAAAGAAACATTAGTGCCTCCAACTACCAACATGGACAAAGGGCCCACAGACTTAGCCAAGTCACACAGACGGTCCAGGAACAAGACTGCCTGCAATATTAATTTATATTTTGTCTTCAGGGCAAGATATAGGAGGAAAGGAAATCTGACAACTATCACACAGAACAGCCTAAAAATGACACAGACTGAGACTTTTTGTTGTTTAGGACAATACTAAGACAGAAAAAGATGCATAAAAAAAGAATCAAACATATATATAGTTAAAGATGTCTGACCAGGGGAAGAGGTTTCTACTACAGTGTAGAGACTTTCAGAGTCCACATGGCATCTTTAGCCATTACCCAAGCACTCACACATGTATGAGTAGCTCCTTACTGGTCCTCCCTCCACACATCCCATGCCTCCATAAAAAGTGAGAGTAGAGGAGCTGCCGACCCTTGCACTTAAGGGCCAGCCACTGCTGTCAGAGGATTCTAAAGCATAGGCTAAAATCAACTTTAAGAGGTATTCTGCCTATAGTATTTTGAGTACACACACACAATCCCCTCAATCATCAGGTGAAATCAGCAGAGACACTTCTTGATAACACTCTCTCTGGAAATTTTTATCTTCCAGATGCGAGAGAGGGATTTACTCCCTACTTGTTCATGAGATGCCCTCTCCAGATATTGTGTATCTACATTTCAGTAGGGTCCTTCAAAGATTCCTTTCTAGCACTACAAAAATTACCCGTGACAATCAAATATCTTTGTTCAAGTCACTCCAACAGGACAACACTTCCACTTAGAATTTCACCAGAATTCTCAGATGGTTTCAGGTGAATTCCCAAATATTTCTGTTGAGGAAAGATCATGAACACCACCCTTTTCCTGACAGCTGTTCATCAAAATGTTAAAGACAAAACCATGATCCAATGTATTTAAATACCTTTATGGGTTGATTCCTGTTGTAAATCACAGAATGAGGGCCACAAATTAAGTCTATAAAACAGGATCACACATGTACACACCAATGTAACACTGGGATCCTGAGGGAAGCAGTGAGGGCACAAGAACAAGGCAAGCTTATGGAGTCAAGTCTGGGGCAACAGTATGAAAGTGAGAGCACAGCTGGCAGCCACTTACAGAATTTTATTTGGCTTCTAGGGTCAGAAGGTCTGGCTACAAAGGGTTTTCACTGTTGATCTCTTATGTCGAGTGATATTTCCATCTCATGCATGATCACTGGTGCAGATCCCATAAGGTAAATTATGCCTTCACTGGCAATTGAGCAACTACACCATCCTCTTGCATGTGCAAAAAAAAAGAGCTGCACATGTCTCACTGTGAAGGAAATGAAGGGATAGCAACTCCATTTTTTGTATCAATCATGTAAGGTACTAGAATAACATCTCCTCTTAAAAGCTGCATCCCCTGATGAAAAAGATTGCATCTGTTACTCCAGCAATGTCAAAGGGGTCACAGCTAACTACTGATGCTCAGCATCTGCACACGCAGTTTGTACTTAAAGTTACTTGAAGGTACCATGATTAGAGAGGAATTTCTTGTTACTGTAGCTTATGTGCTCAAAGGAGCAGGTAAGATCAGAAGAGGTAAAAGGAAGAAGCCAACAGATCAACCACAGGGGGTGGGCTGTTGGCTGCATCATGACTGTACTCAATCTGTCTGGTCTGTCACTTTTCAACCACCAGAAAAATTGGAAAAAAATATGTACAACTAAGCTTCCCAAGAACAGGGATAGTAGAGGATGATGCACAATTCACCTGCCTAGGCTCACCAT